CCTCTGTTCGCCCTCTCTCTCTCTCTCTCTCTCTCTCTCTCTCTCTCTCTCTCTCTCTCTCTCTCTCTCTCTCTCTCTCTTTCTCTCGCTCTCTCTCTCTCTCTCCCTTCTCCTAATCTCTACTCCCCCTCCCGCCCTGTCTGGCTTTGACTCGCTCCAAACTCTTCTCTCTCTGCGTGGGCTAGCAACGGCATGCACTCTCCCCGATTTCGGAGAGAGCAGCTGTTCTTACTGGATTGAAGTGATAGGAAGCCACGAAGGGAGGAAGGCAGCTCTCCACCATTGAGATATTCTTGACCACAAGGTAAAGTGATACTTGACGAAGCCCCGCCCCGGGGGAGGGGGGAGGGCAGGGGAGGTGAGGAAAGAGAGGGAAGGTTCAGAGGGGGCTTGATGAGAGATGATGAGACGGAAGGGATGAACTCGCAGTTAATTCGAACTCGGGGCAATCCTCAACAAACCATCCTTTATGCGCAAAAGATTGCGAGACGAAAGAACTGGATTCCTTCCCGAGAGAAGGCCGGGCAATCAGTGGTAAGAAGGTTGAGGGAGCCGCTTAGGGAGGGAGAGAGACGGGGACAGAAAGGAAGAGAGGGAGGAAGAGAGGGAGGAATAAAAGGATGAAGAAAGGGAGCAAGAGAGGTAGGAAGCTAGGAAGAAGAAAAGGGAGGAAGGAAGGGAAGAGGAAAAGAGGGATGGAAGGGAGGAAGAGGGACGAAGAGAGAGAGGAAGAGAGAGGAAGAGAGAGGAAGAAAGCCAGAAAGAAAAGGAGCAAGAGAGGGAAGAAGATAGGAACGAAGGAAGAAAAGGGAGGAAGGGAAGAAGTGGGAGGAGAGAGGCAGGAAGAAGGGGGGCGGAAGTGATGGAAGAAGAAAGGGACGAAGATGGGGACGAAGACGGAGAAAGAGAGGAAGGAAGAGATGGCCGAAGGTAACGCAACGGAATCGCTGAAGCGATTAGCCAACACACCTGAAAAAAGGAGGAGACTCGGCAACACGTGAACCTCCGCACGCGCACCTGCCACGTGACCAGTTTACCGACCGACGTCACGTCACCAGTTTACCGACCGACGTCCTCACTCAAACCTTCAATGATCGCCACTCAAGATCCGGTTCGCGGCCGAGACAACGCAAGAAGCAGGTACACTCCCTCCCTCCCTCCCTCCCTCCCTTTCCTGTGCTCGCCCACTCGATTTCTATTCCCCTTTTCCGCCAGGTGAGCACTCCCTCCCTACACTCCCTTCGATTTCACACACGCGCACCTGTTTCCTCCTCCCTCCTCCTCCTCCTCCTCCTCCTCCTCCTCCGCTGCAAGTACTCGCTTTCAGCGGCGGTGATGACAGAATGAGGACAACGCGGCGGCTATGGCCGAGATGTCCACGATTCGGAAATGATTCCCGGCGGCGATGGCTGGACGAGCGAAACCGGCGATGGATTCGCGAGAGAAGGCCCGGGCAATCAGTGGTGCGAAGGATGAGGTAGCCTCTTTGGGAGGGAGAGAGACGGGGACAAGAAGCAAGAGAGGGAGGAAGAGAGGGAGGAAGAGAGGGGAGGAATACCGGCAATGGTTGGACGAGCAAAACGCAGCGGCAACTGCTCTTGTAGCCAGCGGGTGACTGGCATGAAGAACCACCTTCCAGAAAACGACAAAAAAGAGAGACTGGTGTGGTCGATGGAATCACTTTTCTTCTCTCTAGCTATTTTCCAATGTGACCGATAGCATAGATTGATAGACTAGACTCTTTAAAAAAAAAAAAAAAAAAAAAGATTGATAGACTAATGGAGTAGAGTCATATAGAGTTATCGAGTGAGTAACAGAGTACTATAGACGAATTAGACGAAGAGTAAAACAGTAATTGATAGACTAATGGAGTAGAGTAATATAGAGTTATCGAGTGAGTAACAGAGTACTATAGACGAATTAGACGAAGAGTAAAACAGTAATAGAAAAACGTGTGGCCCGAAGGCGTGCTGGCAATACTTTCTTTTTTCACAGATGGCGGTGCGCAGGCAGCGGGGGATCGCACAGGGGTAGCTGCGAATAAGCTATGCTTAGCCAGAACTTGCTGTTGGGTGTGGCGGAGGCGGTGGGGTGATGGAGCGTGTGGGCGCTGAGGTGGAGG